GACAGACCCATAAACATAGACAGACCCATCACATGGACAGACCAAACATAGACAGACCCACTACATAGGACAGGCCCAATACATAGACAGACCCACACATGGACAGAACCATACACAGACAGACCCACACATATACAGACCCATGCATAGAGCCAATCCACATTCTAGCAAAATGCGAATTTTCTTGCGTCACTTACTTCTGCAGCAGCACCTTCTTTCAGATGTATTGTCAGTTGTTTGCTTGATTTCAACACCATCACAGCTTCCGAGTGGGAGATACCAACAAAACTTACATCATTCACATCCAGGATTTGATCGCCAGGCTTGGTTATAGAAAAGCATGAAAATATAAATATTAATGTGCAGTTCTATTGCAGTGTGTTAATATTATAAACAAGAATAAATAAGGTATTCTCAACTATGGAATTGTTCACTAACACATATGATCATCTGCCCAAACATTAGCCTGACAAGTCACATGAGTTTCGCCCTCATTGGTACTCCAAACTCAACACACGCCTGACAGAATTATGTAGTTTTTGACTTCTCTCGACGATTTTTGTCGGTACCAATCATATTGCAGGAACATCAGCCATCAAAGATTAACCATTCATGGCAGAGTTTATTTGTTTGTTGACATAATGTGTGATAATGTCTGTCAATTTTGCCGACAATGCAAACACAGCTTTGATTGACGGTGTTACCATGACCGCCAAAATGAATATTCATTGAAACTCATTGCAAGAAGGCGTGAACTTCGTGAATTCGTAGTATTGATCTTGCCGATGAGACATAAACTATTCTGTCAGGCGTTGGTGTAGTCTGATGTTGCTTGGCTGGCAAGGGTCTACTCATGCCTACATGTCAGACTACCCAAACATTGGCTAGGCAAATATTCTTGTTGGATGAGGGCAGTATAACTCAGCTGCCAGTTATTCTTGGGCAAAGATGTTTCGAGTTAAAGCAGTGTAGGTTTCAAACTACAAGTGAAGTTGGATCAAGGCACCCACAAATATAATACTTTTTATTTTGAAAACAAATTTTCGTAATGGCAATATTAAAGTGAGGACAATCCCTTACCTTAATCCCAATTTTTTCAGCAAGAGATCCTGCTTTCACGTACTGGATATAGATCTCATCACGTCCCGGACTGCTGGCATACTACAACCAAGGACATGCCACCATCAGATTG